ATTTCTGATAGGTTGAAATTCTTATTTTCTGTTCTCCATTTCCTATTCTTTTTATTGTGCGGAGCTCCTTAAACTGAAATCAGACTACGCATTGAAGAATGAGATTGAAGATTGAAAGATTAAAGTTTGACCAATCAGAACAAAAAAAGCCAAAATTTCTTTGTCTTCATTGGTGAAATTTCAATCTTTAATCTTTAATCTCAATCTTCAATGCATAATCTGATTCCGATCTTATGGCTCCTGCACACAGAACGCAGCAACCTTCGCCGCGTGACGAAGTTGGCGCGATAGCCAATCAACGTCTCGCTTGCTCGGAAGTAATAGATATATAATTTCCACCGTTCGACAAAAGTTGAACTTAATCCAACTTTTGCCACGCGGCAAAGTAATATTACATTATTTCTAGAAGTTTTGCATGGTGAGACTTAAAGGAGTTGATTATGTATCTCGAAATGAGATGAAAATTACAAAAATGAGCAAAATTTATTAGGAAATTCACAATTCAATTAGTCAACACTTAAGAGCGTTTATCGCGACAACCAATTAGAAGCATAAATAATATCATTAATGCTTCTAAGGCTTATTCTAGGATAGAGTCGTAAGAGGTAAGCTGTAAGAAATTAATCAATCATAATCGATCGTTCTTCTCACTTAACTGTGACTGGCCAATTTCTTACGGCTTACGACCTTATTGTAGAACAAGCATAATTGATTGTCGCGATAAATGTTTCAACTAGCAACAGATGTTTGCAACGCATTGTAAAATGCCCTTTAGTGAATTTGCTCATTTTTATAATTTTCATCTCATTTTAAAATACTCAATCGACTCTTAGAACAAAGAATTATTGGTTAGCGACAATTTCTGCTGCGCAATAAGTGTTGCAGCGTTCTGTGTGCAGAAGCCATTCAACTTTTGTCGCGTGGTATAAGGTCGGGTTCACACCTTGACGGAAAAGTGGAAAACGGAAAAGCGTAAGCCAATCGGAACTCGCAGTAGTAGTAGGGGATACATTTCGCTTGTCTGCTTGTTTTTCCGCGAGTTCTGATTAGCTTCCGCTTTTCCACTTTCTGTTTTTCCGTCAAGGTATGAACTCGGCTTAAGTTATATATCTATTACTTACCGAACAAGCAATACGTTGATTGGCTATACGTTGATCACGCCAACTTCTGCCGCGCGGCAAGTATTATCGCGTTGTGTGCGGGAGCCATTATATAGTGTCGCTTGTTGAGAAACTCCCATGAAAAATATATACAATAGAAACAGGGAATAATAACTAATTTTTTCATCTCTCTTGGGCTATGTTCCAAAACTTCCTCTCCGAGAAAGATTTTACTCTATATAGTATACGTTACATGTACTATATTTTTCCAGTAAAGTTTTCCTCAGAGAGGAAATTTTGAAACGTAGCTTCGTCGCGATAACCTTATCCATGGCCTAGTTTCCACCGAGGATGTAATCCGGATCAGAATGTAAGAACCAACCAACTACAATCGAGTATTCCCCTATTGTTCGACTGTAACAGTAGTTGGTCGAATTAAACCCTCGGTGGAAACTAGGGTCGGTATTCATAATCAGATCTTATATTCAAGTCTTAAATACGATCTTAAGAAGTCACAAACCAATCAGAAGGCTGCATTAGCGTCTTAAGACATTACTTAAGACGGTTTTGAAATCTCGACTATCAATACCGATCCTAGAATAAACGAGATATCTGGATTACCTCTAGAGGAAAGAAAAAAATTGGCCAGAGATTTCAATCTATCAGAAACCGGTTACATCGGAATATATAGTTTTTGATAGGTTGAAATCTTAATATTTAGTCCTATTCCTAATATTTCCCTCGTTGTACGCAGAGCCTTACATTTGTTACAGGACTGCTATTCGGTTAATTCGGTAGTCGGTACTCAGTAATTTGCGATAGTCAATTAGTTGGTAGTATTGATTGTCGATCTGCTCGGTATTGGCAGGTGTTGGCAGATAATATGTTGTAATCAGCATAATAAAGCAGATTATAGATGAACAAATGTTTTTGAAGCTCTTGGCACACATTGAATGATATTCTAGTTCAAACATCGTCGCTGAGAAGAAAACGAACAAGATGAATGCAACAGTAGACGGTAAAAGAGTACAGGATCTTCCACCGAAAGGAGGCTATGGTCCCATACAAACGGAAAGAATAAAATTACGCAGCATTATCGGCGGTAAAGATATTTCTGTAACTAATTTTATTAGTTGATTGAAAATTTTATTGGCTAGTTAATACAAAGATTGCCTTATTGGCAGGTTATGTAATATGTAATGAAATGTATAATGTAATGAAATTTTATAGCTAGAAGCACAATTGCGTTTTTCCTAGCCACTACGTTCGGCGGAATGTATGCCTACTATCTAACTTTCAAACAGATTAGACGTCAAGAGATTGAGATGAGAAGTGCACGTTTGGCTTTATTTGCAGCATTGGTGGCAGAACGAGATAGAGCGTAAGGATGTATATTTTTCATTTAAAATATAGTATTCGCTATATTTATATAAGCTAGTGCAATTGGAGCCTTAATTAATTGTGAATTCGATCATTTGCCAGATTAGTACATATTAAAAGCTACTAAAATTAGCAACATGAAATGTAAAGATATGTCAATCTATTAAACGATTAATTACTTAATAATGATATTATCATGTTATTTAATTGAATATATATATATATATATATATAAAATTTCATTGTCAAAGTTAAGTAAATGTTACTGCATTTAGATATTTTATGTAAGACAACCTTTAATGTAATACTAATCCAGTATACTTGAATGATCATTCACCACAATTATGAATTTGATTACTGAATTAGTATGTATTTGAAAAGCTGCTTTATTTAAAATATCTAAATGTATATCATAATGTAATAGAGTCAGTTATAATCATTTTCCTTTTTTTTCATGCAGTGTCTTGAAACAAATGAGACGTAATCGCGACATCGAAACAGAATTGATGAAAAATGTTGAAGGATGGGAAGTGGGAACATACTATGGAGAACCGATATTCTTTTTGGATGATCCAAACCAGTATAGAGATCCAATTCTCCTTGAACATTTTGCGCATTCTGATCCAAAAACGTATTGCGAACGAGTTGAGCGTCATTTGTGGCTGTAAAATATTGTTAGTTGGGCATTCAGATTCTGATCAATTGTGGATCTGATAATGTGACAAAATTGGAAAGTAGTGTGTTAATAATAAGTGTAATTATTGCGAGTCATAATTATGAATAATATTTTGAAATAGGTTACAATAAAGTCGTAATGTTTCTGTTTGACAGTATTCTTTCCCTCATTTTCACATTTTATTATGATAGACTTCACTTATTAAAAACAAAATAATATGTTTAATGATAATAATCTGGTATTTGAATCTATTTTTTTTTAAATATATAATAAACGCCAAATAGAACATTTTACTATATAAAATAACAAACGCCTACTTCACATATTTTTATTTTTAAAAGCAAGTTTTTTATTTATAAGAATATGTTTGTCTTTATCAAAAAAATATAAAGTTTAAGTTTCTGTTGAGCTTTCTGAAAATTGATTAAATCATTACTTGTTATTATTTGGTGAAGTTCATACTTCATTAACTTTATAGTAGAATATATTTTTTATTCTTGTCAAGATACCGTTTTACTATTAATAAATATATTTTATTATATAGATAAATTTATATATTATAATTATTTCACAATTTGTGTTTTATTTTATTTACTTCATTTTATGACTAGAATTTTTTTTTATATATAAAATAATAAATAATTAATTTCAATTAATAACTTATTTAAATAATTTCTAATATAAATTTATAATTTTATTACTTTACTTATATTTACATTATGTTTTAATTTAATATTGAATAACTGATTACATTTTAACTTTCATCGTTAATTAAATCTCTTACATAATTAGACACTTAATATATAAATCTAAAAGACGTAAAACAGTCTTCCAATTTATGACTCGATGGAAACGTAACCTAATAAACAACACGGCAAGGCGCGATAATAAAATAAACACTCCAATTCACGCTAAATCAATTGAGGGGCATTCGAATTCCTTTCTCTTTCTCTTTCTCTTTCTCTCTCTCTCTCTCTCTCTTTCTTTCGCGACCGAGTATCTTTCCGGCCAATAGACTAGCGGCGATCGGCTCGCGCTCACGGCAATCGCCAATCGGCGGCAGTTTGTCGTCCACGTGGAATAGTAGCCCACGTATAGAAGCGTGATGCCACGTGCGCGCGACAATCGTTTACGATCTTTTCTCCATGAGTGGGAAAATGCGATTTTCAAAAATGCAGCCACACGATCTTACACGCTTGGCCGGACACGCCGCGACGGCGTTGCACGCGCGCTGTCGACCGTTGTCGGAGTTCTGCGTTGGAGTATCATGTCACGTCACCGGTACGGCTGGCGAAACAAGTGTCTGTATACAAGATGGCGGCGCCCGGAGTTGAGACCATCGCGAGGCTCGCGAGGAAGCAGCAGCGTGTGTCGATGATGTCGCAACGACGAGGAGAGTGAAGTGAACGGGTGGCCGGTGCTACGTGCGCGGTAACTACGACAACGACGACCCGACTCGATCCGACCGACCGGTGCGGTGCGGCGCGGCGCGGCGCAGCGCGGCGCGGCACGGCGGAGTACGGTACGGTACGGTGCGGTGCGGAGCGGTGCAGTGCAGGGCAGTGCGTGTTGCCTAGCCTATCCCGGGTAGAGCGGTATCGCAGCGAGCCGAGCATCACGGCGGTGACAACGGCAACGGCTAAGCGGCAGTGGCAGCGACAGCGATAGCGATAGCGACTGCGGCGGCAGCGGCAGCGACGCCGGTTACGGTGACGGAAGCGTCTCGAAAGATGCGGTCCGAGCAATGGAAGAAACGGCAGGGATTCGACGCGTAGCCTTGGCCAACGGTGGTTGGTAGGCAGGCAGGCAGGTAGTCGAGTTTGGGACGTAGGCGCGTCAGGCAGGTAAACGAAGAAGTCTGAGGCGTGGGATCTCAGTGGGAGAGGAAGTGCGACGAAGAATCGACTACGGTCAGTTTCATCCCAGGCAGCGTCACGACTTGACGACCGTGCGGAGCTACGTCCTCTACGTCGTTTATCGTCATTCCATTCCTGTACCGCGTACGTCCGGCTGGGAGATAGCAAGTGCGAAGCGACTACGTTGTCTAGCCTGTGCGTCGCTCCCTGTAGTCTCGCCATTGACGCCGACGGCGACGCTGTTACGGAGCAAGCGAGATAGGAAGTAAAAGAGAGAGATAGATAGATAGAGAAAGAGAGTGTGAGAGTGAGAAAGAGGCAAGCGAGGGACGCGGAGCTTTCTCAAGAGACTTGGCGACATAACGATGGCGACGATATCAACGATCACGACGACAACGTCGATGTCGACGTCAACGACGAGGATTGAGACAGCGATGGCGACAGAGCCGAGAAGGAATTATAACGAACTATGTCGCTTATGCGCTTCTTACGACGCCGTTAGGATGCACATATTTGGCCAGGAAGGCAAGAATCGTCAACTCGTCGACAAGATTGAAACGTGCTTGCCGTTCAAGGTAAGTCCTTCTCTTTGTTCGCGTTCTTCGCAACATTCTGAGATATCCTGTTTCTTGTGGGACTCGCAACAAATCATCTATTTCCTTCTCTCTCTCTCTCTCTCTCTTTCCTCCGTCTTATTTTGTCTTCCGCAGCGTCCCTTATTCTCTCTCTCTCCCCCCCCCTCTCTCTCTTTCTGTCTCAATTTCGTTTACTTTTCTGAGTGACCTCCCTTGGTACTTTGTGGCCCTGCACGATTCGTCCTCGATCTCATTCTCCCGATAAGAGACGGAGAGGCAAAAGGAGTGCGAGAGCGATAGAGAGAGGGAGAGGGAGAGAGAGAGGAGATTCACGGACGACTCGTTCGGTGTCGACGGGGCGTTACTGGGTGAAGGTTTTCTTCCCGCCGCCGCGTCGTCACCGTCGGCCATCTCGCTCGCTCATCCGCTTATTCACCGAGAGCGTCCTCGATGACGAATTCCACCCGGTTGGCCGTCGCTTATCGAGGACGTCACGACGACGAGGTCGGCCTGACGCAAGGAGGCATGCTTCGTCGCGCGACGCACTGGCGACATTTTGTTTGCCGCTACGGCACGCATTACGTGCTCCTCCACGGGATCTAACCGCCGCCGCGCCGTTATCGTCGTCGTCGAGTCGCCGAGTTGCCTCGTCGACGCGTAACTGCGGACCGCATTCCAGTTTATTTTCAATTTCCTGCTACAATTGAATATTCTATTGTCACGTGTATCATCCCCTCGCAGCACCGGTTTATCGTTCAGGCTCGTTGTTAATCTCGTCTTCGTGTACAACGGGATTTATCGGATCCCACGCGTCGTAGTTTCGTTGATTGTCTACACGAGCACGCGGCGTTTGAACTGGAAGATGGAAAAATTACATCGCACGATACGCGTGATCTTTCCTAAGATCTCATCGCATCTCTATTATTAGATTGTCTTTCTTTAGCAAAAAAAGTAACTTTACAAATGTTGTAAAATTCTTCAATATGATTGATTTATAGAATTAAAATACTTAGAGATGCGGAAATTTAAGGGAAAGATCAATCATGTCGAAAGATATTACAACTGTTGCAAAGCTACTCTTTATATGATGTAAAAGCATCAATTTAGATCTTATGAAACTTCTAACGAATCGGTCATTTTCATTACATATTAACTTTCTATAGCCCGGTGTGACTTCGAAGTCACATACTGATATATCTTGTTGACTATTTAATTTTTAGAAACAAAACTTTTTACATAAATTATATAATTGTTTTATAGTCACGAAAAAATTCGGGCTATAGAGGGTTAAAAGCTGCTATACATGAAATCAGCAGAGTTAAATTAAAAGCACATTTTAAACGATTAAATGCCCAATAATGACCGTCATATTATTTAAGAGTTTAGTTCCCTATCAAAGTTGATTATATTATGCTTACTGTATATTCAGGTACTTTATGTTAAAGCAGCTTTTAATGTGCACTAATTCAGTGTAATGACCGAATTTACTATTTAAAAACATACCTTGAGAATTGCTTGGTCGATAAGTAATCGCGTTCCAATTTATTTCGAATTTCCTCCTATACTTGGACTGTCACTTGCATCACTCTCTTCCATTTATCAATGTTATTTGTTATTATATTTCGTCTTCGTGCATGATGAAATTTTTACCGGATCGTGTGCACAATCGAAATCCACGTGTTACGAATTTTAGTTATACACACGAGCACGTGGTACTTAAACCGAAAGATGGAAGAAATACTGTATGAAACACGCGATCTTTTTTAAGTTGTATCTCTAGTCTTTGTGGAACAAAAAAGATAAATATGATGTAAAAGCATCAATTTATGTGTCCCGCAAAACTTAAATATATCTGAAATATATGTCAAGAGTTATATAACATAAAAAATAACATAAAAGCGTTTTTTGATAATTGAGATAATGATGTACAAAGTATAATGAAATTTTATATTCATGAAGCTAATTAGAAGATTAAAGCACGCTGTTTTATGATAGAAATATTTTTGAGTTAGATGTTTACTGTAATGACAATCAGGATATTGTAAAAATTAGCAATACGTGTGAATAATAATTAACAATAAAATGTTTAAAATTTTAATAAAACTTTTTTCATATTCGTTTTTTGTTTTATCATTCGCATTGTTATTTATCTTCTATTACAGTTTTCAATGTAATATGTCTGAAAAAAAAACAAGTTTTTAATGTTTTAAGAATAAATTTATTCAAAGAATATTCCTGGAATCATATTATGAAACTGTTTGGGTTCTGATTGATTTTTCCTAGAAAACATAACAGAAATCTAGGAAATAATTGAGTAATTCGATCGGAATTCATATCGAATAATTTCATATATGCCATAGAAAGATATTTCAATAGACGTGAAATATACCATCTATTAATTATAGTCATATTTTTGAGATAAATTCATTTTTACATATATATTTTATGTATTAACATCTAACTTTGACCGAAAATGGCGCTTTTCGTATTTAGATGATGTACTCACATAACAATCTCGTATTGTTTATATATTATTGTTTTATATATTATTATTATTTTACATATATATAAATTATTGCCAAAATCTTCAATAATTAATTTAATCATCTCTTTAATATTATTATTATCATAAGTCATAACGTTTCCAATGGGATATCTGTTAACAAAAGACAAATTAAGAATTAGATTTACATCAAGACATTAAGTCACTACACTAATGTAAAATTTGAACGCATTTTTGACGAAAATGTCGAAATTGCTGTTTCAGATAATGGAAGATGATTATTTGCCAAAAGTCCTGTGTTATCGATGTATGTACAACTTGGAGAATTTCTATGACTTTAGGACTGCGTGTGTTAACGCAGCTGTTTTGTTGGAAAGAAATAGGCCGAAGGAAGGCGTAAGTATCCGAATCTGCAAATGTTAGAACATTTGCTCCTTGAAAATTTAAACTTTATTATAAAAATAGGATATAAATAAATTAAAACGTAGTTAAGCAATATATTACTAATAATTCTTGAAATTATTAGTAATATTAAAAATTATTGGAAATAATATTCTAAAATTTTCTCTAATTTGAAAATTATATCAAATATATGACATTTTATATATATAAAAAAAAATCATTTCATAGTATATTGCATAATCTAACAGTTATTTCTTGTATGTCTTAACATACAGAAAAGAATTTTAATTATTACAAAAATATAATATTATAGTTTGCAGATTTGTAATTTTATAAAAAATTTGTTGCACAGGTGAGCGATGAAGATGCAAATGACACTGCGCAATCCTGCGAGATGCGCGCGGCATTTCTTAAGAAAGAAAATATGCCAGTACTTATTCCAGAAGCACCCGTAGTCAATCCCAATGCAGCATTGGGTACGCCACCGAGATTAAATTCGGATGGTGAAGCAGATCCCGAGATCGAAGAGATTCTTGACACAAGTGAAGGTACGGATGAAGGTATGATCGCACATTTTGAATTTGATTCTTATTTTGCTTGGTAAAGAAACAATTTATCGCTAACATGTGTTATTTTAATATGAAGCCACAGTGATCGACGATTCGGAAGATCGACGATCGGAATATGAGATGGCATACGAAATGGACATGGAGACGAATCCTAGCGACTTCTTGGAAATGACTCCGATGGTAACCGAAGAAAATGAAGAGGAATGTAGTACAAACAACACGAATGTCGCGACTGCTCAAGATACGGTTTTTCCACATACGTCACAACAACATGAGGTCTACGTCTGTTCTCTATGCAACAAAGCGTTCAGTTCCAAGGGTCACTTGTCCCTGCACGCGAGGATTCACGTGGGTGAGGGTGATGTGATTGGCGAAAGAGTAATTACCGACGACCATACTTCGTACCAACGACCGTATCAATGTGATCTTTGTCATAAATCGTATTCTACTGCGAAGCATCGCTGGGGACACGTTTCTACAACGCATCGGTAAGTGAGCTTCAATAACACATTACTATTTTCCATATAAATTGTCTACTGTGTACGATGTATAACGATGTCATTGTTACAGTTTTTTTTAGTAAAAACTTTCAATTAAGACAAGTCGGATGGATAAAAATTTATCTATAGTAGTTGAAATAATATCGTCAGAATTGATTAAAAAATTTAATTACATTATTTTATTAAAAACGATTCCTTAAGAGAGAAACTCAAGTAATTTAAAAAATTATGTAGTTCTAATAATTATGTAGTTCTAATAATTCGATTCATAATTATTGTAGCTCATTATCTTGTCAACATTTGAGAAGACATTAAAGATATCTTTAATTAATATTAAATATTTGTCTTCTTACCTCAGAGGACATCCTGCAGTAACGTGTGCGTACTGTTCTCGTATATACTCGACGCGATATAATCTCGATGAACATATAAAATCACGACATGCTGGGCTACCACCACCTCCAGAATTATCGGTTCCTCTAACGCGTACGGAAACACGTTACCAGTGCCAAACATGTCCGATGGTGTTTACGGATCTAGCAGATTTCAATGCGCATCGTCAGATATGCATCCAGGAACAACGTACAGATTTATTAGGTCAAACCGAAGCGCAGAATAATAAAATTTTCGCCGATACATCCGACATCTCAAGTATAGATTTGGATGACGAGAATAAAGACTTTAAGAATGCAACCATATTGAAACAGGCGCTGACTAAAGGAGATAATTTAAAACGGAATTTCGATGATGATGGTTCGACGTCTAGCGGCAAGCCGAAAAAAATAGTTAAGTCAGGTAAAATTTAATTATTAATTATTTAATTTAATGATTATTAAAGCAACAATAAAATTGAAAGAATGTCACATGGAATTAATAAAAACCACCTAATTTTGAATGTGTTATTATTTAGAAGAAGGCGAGGCAAATCCTCAGAAGAGATGGTATTGTGAAGCTTGTCCACAAAGTTTTACATCAGTGGAGAGTTTAAAAGAACACGAGATTAGACACGATGCCGAAAAGCCATATATTTGCATACTATGCAACAAAGATTTTGTTTTGAAATCTTCATTAAATAGGCATATTACAATGTTACATGGTGTTGATCCTGCTCCTATCATCCACAGTGATAAGTGTCTAAAGGCAACAGTAATGTCTCAGAATTGGAACGATCGAGTGGACGTCAGCGTTTATGAGCAAAGTGAAATAAAAGACCCACCAGAGCTCTCGTCATCACCTGAGGTAAAGATAAATTTTTGATTTTATACTTTTTATTATGTCATAAAGACATTGTTACAATATATTATGTTATGTTAAATAGATAAATTTAGAGAATGATGACAAGGATTATAAAAACCATGAGAATGTAGAAATTGAAACAGTATTTGTGTGTGAGACTTGTAAGCGAGATTTTAACGATCGAGCATCATTATGGCTGCACATACGAGCAATGCACAAGGAATATGCAGCATTTACCTGTGGAGTGTGTTTAAAGATGTGCTTTAATAATACACAACTTCAAAATCATGTCTTCATGTATCATGGAAGGTCTAAGCTTTTAATCTCGGAACAAAGAAGGTATAATTACATTCTATCTCGTCTATTTTCTTTTTACATTAGTTCATGTGATGAAATCGCATGTATGCATTATATAAATCAGTATCATATAATAAATCAGTGCTTATAAATATGCGATTATGGATGCAGGTATAGTTGCACGATATGCGGTAGACAGCATGACTCGAGAAAAAAGCTAATCACTCATGTCTCGATACATAATGTCGATCCTGCCTATGATCCTGGAAGTTTTGTACAATTGAACAGTAATTATTACAACGAAAACTTGAATGGTAACGAAGGCAATGAACAAGTATTAGATTTTGACGGAGAAGATGGCGAGAAAGTTGATTGTTACATTTGTTATAAATCTTTTCCGACTGAGGATCATCTTATACGACATCAGAGAAATGCTCATAAGGTAATATTTTGAAACGCATGTTAATTTTTTAATAAGAGTTACAGTTATTTTTAGTAAACACAATAATATAAATAGTATAAATTTTTTAAATGATATACATTTTATTTTCTTTTGTTACAGTCTGACCAGATTTCGTTAGGAGATGCTGCGAGTGGAAATACTCTAAGTGTCAATGGCAATGGTAATAGAGCGCAGTATCATTTGTTTTTTGTTTGCGAGGTATGTGGTAGTTCACATTCGAGCAAATGGGAACGTTGGTTGCATATCAACAACACACATAATAATGAACCTTCTATTAAAGTAAGTTTGAGAAACAAAAGAAAATTTATTCTTATTGCGTTGTTTTATATATTATTCTAATTTCATCTGTATCATTGTTCTAGTGTGAATTGGAAAATTGCGGAAAAATATTTGCGACGAAATCGTTACGTAATGAACATCTTCAACATCATGCGATACAAGGACCCTCGCCAAACACCTGCGAGATATGTGGAAAATTATGGCCTACTCGCGTTGATTATTGGAAACACGTGATGGGCGTACACGCAGATACAGTGCCTCTAATTTGTGGCGTTTGTTTGAAAGTATTCTCCGACGTTATGCAATTGAGCGCACACGTTAAGGCGAAACATTGGCCACTAACCAGTGGTGATTTTTGTTGTGATATTTGCGGTAGACCATATTCCAATAAATCGAAAATGTCTCGGCATAGAAAGATCCATGGCTTGGAGGCGGCTATGGACGCTGCATGCGATAATAGCAGTTTTAATGAAACGACCAATGAATCGGTGAAACCTGATCACAGTAATGGCGCTTCAGAAATAGAATTAAATTGCGAGCAATGTCCTGAACTTAGTTTCACGACATTGGACAGTTTGTGTAATCATCGACGGATAACACATAATCTTTTCCCGTGCGATTTGTGTAACAAATGTTATGGCAGAACGTCACATTTATGGAAACATGTAAATAGGGTGCACAAAGGACACACAGACGTGACCTGTCCTTATTGCGCAAAGACAAGCGCATCAAGGGATCATCTAGCAGCACATATTGCAAAGATTCATAGGTTCATGCCCACAGTGGGTAAGGACAATCAAAACTGCGTCACTTCCAAGTCCTTGAGTGCAGACGATGGTGTCTTGCATTATTGTGAAAAATGTAACAAAGGATTCCATAAACGCTACTTGCTCCGTCGTCATATGAAAGGTTGTCAAAACTATCGTAAAGATCCTGGGGCATTGTTGACTCGTTGCCGGGCCTGCGAGAGGATATTTAAAGATCGCGCGAGTCTGCAGAAACATATTGAAAATCATCATACTACATATACTTGCCATTTGTGTAATGAGACGATCACTTCCAAGCTAGGTATCATGACACATAATCGTATCAATCATATGGATCATCCGGATCTGACGTGCGACCATCCGAGCTGTAAAAAACTTTTCCGCACCAAAGAAGATTTGGAATCTCATCGAAAAGATCACAAATATCATAGCAATCTGGATGTTTGTGATTTTTGCGGTGACACCGTGGAAAATAAACTGAAACTGAAGATGCATGTATTATCATTGCATCGAAACGAGATCGGCGTATCCTGTGGGGTCTGTCTCATTCCAATGAAGGATCCCAAAGATTTGAAGAAACATGTCGAAGCGGTGCATAGCAGCGTTCTCTCTAAACCAAACACGTGTCAGGTATGTGGCAAGCAATATGCATCCAAATGGAAGGCTTTCGATCACACGAAGAAGTGTCATGGCAAAGTTTTTCTTACATGCAAACAGTGTTTAGCCGTTTTTACAGACGAGAATGATATACGCGATCACTATGAACATGTGCATAACGTTCCAAAGGACCAATTAGCTATTTTCGAATATAGAATGGATATTGGTGCAAAGAGGGAGGGTTACGAGACTCCTGATATCATTGTGAAGGAGGAACCTGATGATTTAGAGTTTGACGAAGAAATGTGTGACGAAAGTTCGAATGATTCTCGCAAACGTAGAAGATCGCCAAATGATACGTATGATTGCGAGATGTGTCCCGAGATCTTCCTCAATTCAGACACTCTCGCTAAGCATTATCAGAACGTCCATAATACAGACCCCGTCCGTATGTTCAAGAAATTCAGGAAGGATAATAGCGATGGCAAGCGCAAGATGAGAAATAGAAACAATTTTGAATGCAAGAATTGCAAAAAGCAATTCTCTACTAAGACTCTGTTCTGGAATCACATCAATGTATGTACACGACGAAACTCGATAGGTAGATTTGATATGCCGAATAATGTTCCGACATCAATTCTGGAGTCTCATCTAAAAAACAATAATCAGATTCAACGAGAAGAACCGGTACCGCTTACAAACGAGTCCAACTTGAACATTCCCGACTTCAATCTATTCGAAGACATCAATTTGCAATTGTCAGCTCAGAAACCTGTGCCGAATCTTATGCCATTGTCGCAGATGAAAGCGACGGGTAACGGCAAATGCTCGAGAAAAGACTCACGCAAGGTGTATGATGAATCAACCAATACCGAGTGTACGTGCGAAGTTTGCGGTAAACAATGGCCCGCCAAGAAACATTTGTGGCAACATCTAATTCGTTTCCATCGCGCTGAAGCTGCTGTTACATGTGGTGTATGTTTGAAATTGTGTAAATCTTATCAAGACTTGGCCGATCACCTGAAGGCTGAACATGCTCCCGTTTTGTCACCGGAGGGCAATAATTTCACATGTAAGACGTGCGGTAGATATCACAACGCGAGAAGCAAATTGCTGTTGCACATGAGCATCCATATCGGAAACTTCCGGTGTCAAAAGTGCCAGCAAGGTTTTGCAAGTGAGGAGAAACTCACCGAGCATGCAACGAGCTGCAATGGCAAATCGGAGTTTGAGGATAATACAGTGGCAGATGAAGATAATGCAAAGAATGACAACGACGAGAAGGGCAGTTTAATCGCCGATGAGACATCAGTCATTGAGGAAGCAGAGGAAGCGGAGGAAGCAGATTTTGAATCAGAAGGTGAAGGAAGTAGGGATATTCATGATAGAGATAATTCGGAAAATAGTGAAGAAGACAATTCGGAAAATAGTGATGATTCAGATAGCGATAGTAATAGTAGTTCGAGCGAAGACGAAAACGAAAATGAAGGAGAGGAAGAGGAGGAGGAAGAGGAAGAAAATGAAAACGAAAATGAATCTGATACGAGAACTACTAGTAGAGCGAGCGGTGATAGTGTATCATGTAATTCCGACAGTGACGATGAATCAGATATGGATGAAACGCAAGTGGACGCAACGGAAAAGAAAGCTATACAATTGAACGATATTAATAGATTCAGGATATGTGGTGACGGTATTCAAGAGAATATGCCAGTGGAGACAAATATTGAAGATCAGAAAACTGATCTTACATCCATAGCAACAGTTGCAGAACAGACTACATCGAATAATTTAAATGATCTTTTGATTTCTAATGTACCTGGAAACATGGGCACTGACAAATTTGAAGCATTTCGTGTCGAAAAACTACAACAAGCTACGACGAGCGATGTAGACTCTGATAACGAAGACGATGATGATAACGAGGAAGATGATGAGGAAAATAATGAAAATGAAGAAGAAGAAGAAGATGGTGAAGAAGGTGATCAGGATGAAGGTGAAGATGAGGATGAAGGTGAGGCTGAGAGTGAGGCTGAAAGTGAGAATGAGAATGAGAATGAGAATGAGAATGAGAATGAGAATGAGAATGAGAATGAGAACGAGGATGAGGGTGAAGCTGCAGCCGAGGAAGAGGAAGAAGAAGAGGAAGAAGAGGAGGATGATGAAGATGACGATGATGGACCGCCTGTGTTAAGTCCAATAATGCCTTTGTTACCAGAAAATGAATCTGAGGAGTACAGCGGTACGACAGATCGCACGAGGCACAAGCTTAGTCCAATGGTTTCGTTGAGTATAGCTAAAGATCTAGAGGAGTGCGAAATAACCGAAATACCAAATGACACGGACAATATGTCAAACACAGTCAATTTCTTCGCGGCTAATAATAATGATTTATCCGTAACATGGGACGAGAATTTGGATGGTAACGTAATCAACAATGACGATTGCAACTCTGACGCTGGAAACAGGGAGAAAAATGAGGAATTTGATAAGGAATACGTAAAAATAGAAGTAAACGAAGGTGACTTTGAGGAAGATTCCGTGGATGAGAACGTAGTGGATAATAGAGAAGATGATGGAGATAATCAAGTGCATGAGGTGCATAATCTGGACGGAACAGTGTTAATGGTGACTAATGACGCGGAAGGTAATCAAATTTTGATAGAACAAAACGTGTTAGATATTGATAACGAGGACTCTAATATCGAAGCGGCCCAGTATATTTATCCAGAGAACACTTACGAGATCGAGGAAGAGGATTATCCAACGCGAAACGAAACCGACGTCATGCAGACGGACGAGATGCAAGGTAGTATGTCCTACGTTCAGGATACTTCGGAAAACGAAGATAGTATGCAGAATGATATCGAGGAAAACAGTGATGTGCAAAAACAGTAGGACATGAGTGCCAAAACGGAGGAAGGATCTAGGATAATAAATCTGTAATAAAGTGTAAGATAATTAATATGAAATTAAGATCCTTATAAAAAGAAATTACATACATATGTACCTTGAAAAACGAATATTGTATAGTAGAATAAGCTTATAGCTTATAGCTTTGGAGGATTTTTAATAGACTGCGTAAAAAAGGGGGGAGGGAGAAAGAGGGAGGAGAGGGGGAAAGAGAAAGAGTAAATTACGACAATTTCCAATGGAAAACGTTTTGTTTTCATTGATCTGCCAGGGGCTTTGCATTCATTCACTGGTGCGATGTTGCAAGCTTCCGATTAATCGTTTCGAAGAATAATACGATTTTGAATTATTAAGCATTGTATTATATATATATATATATATATATATATATAACACATACATACATATACATAAGACGTTATTTAGATTATTATAAAAGCTATAATTTACAGTATCTTTTTTTAGTTTCCGATATTTAATAGATATCAATGGTTCGTTACGAAGTACCATTTATTTATATCGGTATAACACTTTTTTGACAATAATATGTTCCGACTATTCACGTGAAATGCCATCCATTAGACAATAGGCCACGAATTTATGAACTTAATGATCATGAAAATCCTGTCATTGATGTTAGGAGGATCAAAATCTACAAATCACATTACAATCATTTCTTTTCTCAAACTGCACAATATATATATTTTTTAAATAACGATTTTAATCATTTAAAAGATGCATACAGAAAGTAAGAGATTTTGTTAAAAAAAAAGCCTAAAATAAACATTAAAAGATGTTGAATAAAACGCGTTATTTCCAAAATTGTACGCGATATTTTCACGCAAATATCTAATTTCTCTAATTAAAATTTTCCAAATCTACTTTTTGTGTTTTTCTGTGCAAATTGATTCTATTAGCAAATGATGACAGAACTATACTAAAATTGAATTAGATGCATAAAAAAAAGTCGGATATATTATAACAAAGAAATACTATATACGTTTATGTTAAGATTTAGCATCCTATCTTTCAGGATTCTTTTTCTTAGTATAATGAAGAAGAAGTATATTGCACACTCGCTATATTTTTTATGGAAGTGAAAAAAGAAATAAAGGAATTAATGTGAATAATAGCTTTAAATGATCAATCTGTACAGTTACGTAATGTGAGCGTGTTTGTACATGAACGAATGCATGAGTGTATGTCAAACGATACAGATGTGACTGAAGACTTATATATTAAAGAAAAAAAGCGTACCTCGTACAAATATTTACAATTAGTTGAGATTAATGCGATGATAATTGCTTTGTATTATATTATAATTTAACCATCTTGCAGATTTTCTCAATTATTCAGTCGAATGTTTTCAATTAAGAATTGAACATCAATGAAAGAGAGAATCGTTTAGATTGAGATTTTTTTTAATCTCGCAATTTTTATAGGCGCGTACTGACAAAAAATTAGAAAAAAGTTGAAGTTTTTAGAGATAGCGTTATCAATTTCTAACATGTCAGCGATCTCTGTTTTTCCTTATTATTTATTATATTCATTCCAAAGTAATTTCTAAGATACATTAGGCTCTTTACGAAGGAAAACCACTGATTTGCCATCCGTATTATGCGATTGTATGTGAACGATCTACTTGATATTGCAGAGGAGGAGAAGGAGAAGTAAAAATTGGAGTGTTGACGCTCATTTAGAAAAATATTTAAATATCGTAAATGAAAATTCATACTATCTTTAAATATTATAATTTTAAAGAAGTGTATATTATACATACATGCCTATATACATATATAATGTATATAATGTATATGTATATGTATATGTACGTATTACATATATGTATATTCATTTCATAAAATTCATAATATTTATAGATATACGTATATCGTTCCAGTATTTCCATATCCCGTTTAAAATCCCTTTTTTTTATATAACAGTTGCTAATATTTACGGGTTAGTGCCACTAAATGCGACTATTATTGCTGCATTTTAAGTTTATAGAATGATTATATGAATAAAGTACACTCATAATTTATATGCTATGAATGTGTGTTACTTACATATTCAGCTGGACTGTACAATGAGTTTGTCTTATACAAGCGTGCATGAAAATTGTTTTCTCTAGAAGAACTTCTAATCGTGACGAAAAAAATTAATGAGACGGAAATGGAGTCAACATCAATGTGAATATCATGTCCGAAGCTTTTCTTTGCTCTGCACGAATGGAGCGTGAATCATATGTATTGTGTAATACAGACATGCGAAGGGGATATTACATGTATAATTTATCACAAATTATCATTCTCTATATTTGTTCACAATTCACAGATTACAATAATTATTCTCCATGTGTTTTTGCAAAATGAATTTGTTATTTTATCCTTTCCAAACATATTTCCTTTCCCGTAAAAGCATACGCAATTAGTGACTATGTACATAGAAAATTACATATATACATCGCATAATTTCTAATGCTGTTTTACCTATGAATGATAAAATTTAATATCGATTTTTTTTAAAGCGAAACAATGGATACAAATTACGTAAATATATGTAATATACAAACTTAAAAATTATTAAAGCAAGTCAGTTTTCTAAAATGTAAATGAACGATGAAATGTCGTTGTATCAGTTAACAATAAATAAGTTAAGATTGCCCATTTTCTCTGGAAAAATATTTCATTTATTTTAATGTACGTTGTAACAAGAAATTACGTCTAATTTCTTGCCTCTGATGTTATAATTCAATAGAGCTGCAGCAAACTAGTCCAGAGCCTTAAGGCCGGAAATGTGTGCCTAACTCGGTCATCTTAAATGCGATATCAAAAGCGAGGAAATTGCGAGGAAATATACATGTTAGATCTTAGAGCTTATATCTATATAAAAAAACAATAAAACTACTTTAATTTTACAAAGCAAGTTTATTGCTGAAGGACGTTGGTAATTTTTTCAATTGTGTGACATATTAAATACTCAATAAAATAGATTTCTATCTATAAAGCACTCAATTATATTTATTATTTGATATTCTAATTTTATCTTTACTATTATATTTTCCTCATGAAGAATGGTGATGTTCGAGAAAGTAATCATATATCAGGCTAGTTAGTTTATTTATTTATATCCTTCCGCGCAAAATATATTAAATTTGTTAAGTATTTTTCTTGAGATTCGTTCCACTTGCGAAGATGTGAATTTTTTGTAAGCATTAAGATATACACGCTGTATATATAATATTCACATTTTACTTTTTATAAGATTGTTTATAATCGACACATTACATAGAATTTTATGTGTGTGTGTGTATATATATATATATATATATATATATATACACAATACACGTAACAAAACGATTGATAGTATGATCATATATGAAAAAAATTAATACTTTAGCTATTGTCACTTCTACTAAAGGAAAAGTTTAAAATTCCGTGAAATAAAATATGTTAAACGTATTTCTGAATTTTGTTTAAAATATATTATTTAAATTTGGAGATTTTTAGGTGATTGATTCTTGATGATTCTTGAAAACAATCGAAATTCTTGAAATTCTTCCACAATTGCTTTGGTAAGATTCTCTTTCAAACTTGTGTGAAACACTTCTTAAAATCATAAAACTTATTCGCAAAAATTTACTTTACTTGTGATTTTTTACAGTTATGCGATCTTCTCCACATAATACAGTTAAGACTAGTCTGTATAATACCGTATCGACATTTTATTCTAGTTACAGAATTTCCTGTTTTTACGGTTGCGTCGTGAACAATGAATATCAATATACAGTCGTTCCATACTTTTATATAACATCACGTAGATATTAAAATATGTACAAACAGATTGTGTTACTCACATTTAATATTTAACGATTAGTAAGAAACTAAAGCTAATAAATCACTTTTAAATAATGCACGAACAAATAACAAATTCCTCGCTAATATAAAAACGACAATCGTATAATCATTGATATGACTTTTCCTCCTCATCAAATGAATATTGTAAACATAGACATTTATATTTATTTTCAAGAAACCAGATTCTCGTTATGTAATTAGTTTTTTTTAGCTGAACTTTTTGTATGGTTCATTTTCTCTTTTTCTCTCCAATGTGGAGAAAAAAAAAAGAAAAAAAATTAACCGTGCAAGAATTTTAGCTAAAAAGAAGAAATAAATCTAATAAAAACTATCTGTTAAAATCGCTCCATTCGTACCTACCTTTGATAAGTATATAAATTTGTCCTTTTAAAAAATACGTTTTCAAATTTTTAGAACTTTTCGATCCTTAGCAAATTTCTTGGGACCTCTATATTTCAGGAGTATTATAAAATATCTTTGATCTTTTTTTTCCAAGCTTCGTTTAATATTGAGCAGTGGAGCGGAGCAGCGATACGGTCGTGTCTTTTTCATTTAAAAAAAATAAAAAAATTCATGCGAATATTCTATGCGAATTCAAATTACTCTGTTACATTTTTTTCTGTAATGTTAAATAGAATCGTACGTATAATGACAGAGAAAATTTTCCAAATGGTTATATTACACGTAGAAAATAAAATCTGTATGTGACTAAGATAAATATACTAATTCGTGGACAGTTAATGAACATGACCAAATTATCGAACGAAACAAAAAATTTTAAATATTAAAAATATAATATATATAATATAATATAATATTATATTATATTTAATGATATGTACAACTCTAAATAAATTCGTTGTTTATAAAAATTTTAATAGAATCAATTTATTTAGCGTCGAACATATTATCAAAAGAGTAATATATAAAATTTTTGTTATTTCGTCCAATAATTATGTTATGTCCACTGAGACTAACAATAGGTAAGTGATACATTTACCTTGTATAAATTTTCTGATTTCGTTTATTGTTATCGTTATCTCTCTGTATAGTTTGTCGTTTTCAACAAATGACATATTTGTGAATCACGAATCGATAAGTTTCGCCAACTCCGGTTTATCGATTATCTTGCGAAGAGGCCAGTTTTGGGATGAAAGAGAGGGAGAGGGAGAGAAAAAGAGAAAGAAAAAGAGAAAGAGAAGAGGGAGAGGGAGAGAGAGAGAGGGAGGAAGAGAGAAAGTGATTTTCTACGTGGTCCCGCAGTACGATCATTCCCGGTGTTGATCATTCCGGTCGATTCGATCATCAACACTGCGTCTGATCGCACTCGTCGTGGGAGAAATCGTCGCCGTCGCCACCGCGTTTGATAAACACCCGTGTGTGGTTATTGTTGCCGTGATTGCCCTGCCGGCTCGCGGCGATCACCTGCACAGTCTGCTGCGGCTGCTGCAGTTGCTGGTCTTCGCTCGCCAATCGCTTATTGCA